CTGCAGCGCGCGCCAGACCTCCTGCTCACACTCCGTTTGACGGCTAGCGCCCACGACAGCCACGCCTGGGCGGCCCGCCGTTCACCCTGCCAGCCCCGCCCCCTTGGCTCCAGCTGTACCCTCCTTCATGAAAATGATGCCAACCTCCCCTGTGGCATCTGGGCGACCTGTCGGGGCTGCTAAGGGTCACGGGCCAGTCGCCATGAATGATGGCGAATGACGCATCCGCCGCTGCCACGGTAACAATGCCGAGCCTAATCACTCAGAAATTAGGTCTGGCTTGTGCCTGACTACCTGCTTTTGTAGTAGGGGATAGAAAGAGCAGAGTTGCAAGTTGAAACATTGCTTCAATATAATTACGATGAGGGGGAGAAGGGGCTTGAAATAAGGGGGCGAAAAGCCTTGTCTTGAAGCGTACAAGGGGCACACGGCCACCCTTACTGGGTTTTGTTTCCTGCTCTGTCTGCAGAGCTCTTTCACAGCTCAGTATTGTTACTGGACACGTTTAATAGGCATCGTCACTGTAAGATCTCACCGGTCTCCCTCCAACAGCGCCCCCTACCTTCTCGGAGTAGTGCTCTACAGGCAGTGGCGGGTAGTCGCACTGCTCAATCTTCTGACACAGGGACCACAGGTTCATCTTGTCTCCGCAGAAGGGGCTCTGCAAGGCGGCCATCTGAAATAGAGCCATGGGATGATGCTTTACTTGCCCTTTGTGCCAGTGTGAGTACAGCTACGGTGGAATGTTTCCTTTCACATATCCCATCATGCTCTGCTTCGACACACACACACACACAGTCTAAGCATAGGGTCAGCCATTTATCTGGCACTGCTGGAGCTGCTTTGGGGCGGGGGGGGGGGGGGAGTGATCGAGGGCCAAAAGGTGATATGACAATCCTCCCGACCATGGGATTCAACCCAGCGACCTTCCAATCACAGTCCTGATCCACTGAGCCACACCCCACCCCCCACCTGCGAGAGGGACAGAGGGGGCCAGGCAGATGGGTGAGCCCCTGCAGTCTCGCCCCGTTCAGCCAAATTCCTAGATGTCATGTGAGGGGTCAAAGGTCACTAAGGGGNAAGAGGGACGCGGAGGGACTGGGTGGGACGCGGGGGGACTGGGTGGGACGCAGGGGGACTGGGTGGGACGCAGGGGGACTGGGTGGGACGCAGGGGGTACTGGGTGGGACGCAGGGGCAGTGGTGATTTACAAGGCCCTTCATATAGCCTGCTAAACTCACGCCACATATGCCAAGGAGTCAGACACTTGCTCCAGCCTGTCACATCTCCTTACAAAAACGCCCTTTTGCTCAAAATCATAAGCGGAAATCCGGGCACTGCACCCAGGGCCGTAGTCCAACTCCATTCTCCTCCTCTTTATCCTCCTTAATTTCTTTCACAGATCTGGCCATTATAATTTCAGTTCACACACAAGAAAGGAAGGAAGACTCGGTGGAATGACACAGCCAGTATCTGACATCTCGAAGAAAACGAGAGACCGATCATTGAAATGTCCATGCTCGGCTCTGTCGGGGCCACAGAGTCATGTGACGACGTGACTAAGATTTTCTGGGAGTTCTCTGTTGCTATGGAAATAACGCAGTGGAGTTTTTTTGTGGGCGGGGCTTGGGGAGGCTGCCGGGTTTCACTTACCTCATAGAGCAGACAACCCAGGGACCAGATGTCAGATTTGAAGTTGTATCCATTCTCGTGGATCCTTTCGGGAGACATGTAGTAGGGCGTCCCCACTGCGGGAAGCAGAGAGACAGCCGTCGGTCCAGCAGCAGGGGTTGGGGTGGGTAGTGGACACTCACGCGTAAATGCAGGTGCACACCAAGAGGCAGGAGAGTAAATTCAATTCAATTCATTTTTTATATAGCGCCTTTCACAACAGAGCTGTCCCAGGGTGCTTTACATGCGTTCGTTGTGGTACATTGCAACGTCAGAGTAGTCACTGGCAGTAATCAGTAATCAAATGATTAATGTATCCAGTAGGAGCCACTTTAGCGATATGAGATACAGAGCTGTTAACGACGCACGTCTTCACCGAGAATGAAAACTACAGAATGTGATCACAAATGGCCAAACATCCATCCATAGATCCATCCATCCATCTATCCATATGATATATGTGTTTTATAAGGCATCATTTTGTTTTTTTAAGGTGTGTGTAAAAGCAGTCCTGTGCCATGTCAAAATTCAGGGGGGGGGGGCCAGGTAGAGAGACTCCCTCCCCGGTCGCAGGATTCTGGATGAGGACCCCACCCCCCCGGTCTGTGCGGTGGCCAAATAGCACACGCATAAACCCATATGCCCCCCAAAAGCCAGCCATTGAAGCAGGCGTATGGCGGGGGTGTTTAGGGGCGGGTACAGCGGGCGACGGTGCAGCTTCCGGGCTGCGGGCGTGGTCCTCCGTGGCAGCCCATCCGGCACCGCGCAGGGGTGCGCTGCCTAATGAGCGCCCCCCGCCAAACTTGACCCCCCCCACCTTCCAGTCTAATCAGCGCCAGTCTGCCAATGTAGCACATTACTCAATATGACAAGAGCAGGATAATCAGGGGCTATTCATCACCCGCCCCCCAGACCTCCCCCCGCCCACTCGACGGCACCGGGGTCCACGCGGCCAGCTCAGGTACCCTGACGGAGCGGCGGCGATGTCGCCGGACACAAAATGGATGGAGGGAACTCTGTGGTCTTGATTAACGGCCCCATCGGAACGCGCTGGCCCTGCGGACCCCTTCAGTGGCACTGCAACTGGCGCCATAAATTCCTCCTAATTCATGGCCGTAAAAAATGAAGAAAAAAAAAAAGAAAAATCAGGGGCTAGCTTTAAACTGCGAAGTACAGGACCGGAAAGGGAGCCAGCCGCGGAGAACCCACCCCCCCCTCCGGGCTGGGGGTAACTCACAGAACGCAAAAAAAAAAAAGAAAAGCAAAAGCCAAACTTCTCAAGATAGTCCGGGAGGGAGAGCAGTTCTGACCCACTGAAAGTAACGAGGGCGGTAACTGAAGCTGCAGATGGAGTCTTTACGAGTATAATGCACAGCAATACACATGCAGAACCGTGCTTCAAAGCCGCTGCTTTGAGAGTCGGCCACAGAACATGCGCACAGAGACGATACATTTTTCCTCTTGGAATGTCATTTAACATTTTTAGTTTTATGACAACCCAGTTTATCATTTCCGATCCTGCCCACAGTAATGGGATGCCAGATTAGGGTAATCATTTAAGCGAAATCTTCATCTACTCACCAGTAAAGGAATATTTTACATCCAAATGACAGTTACGATATAATATTAGCATATCTGTCCCCCGAAATTTAAATAAAGCCGCTAATTAAACCAGTAGGACAATGACAACATCAGACAACCAGACAACATCAAATGAATGACCCCCCTCCCCGCCCTCAGACACAGTCCCTGCCTTTTATATACTGTAGGGGGGGGGGGAGAAATGTCATTATTCACAGCCTTGTTTCTGCTTACAACCTTCCTTTATGCAAAATTACCTCCATTTTCAGCTTCCCACTGTGCTCATGAGAATTTTTAATAAAATTCGGTCATAAGAATTTCCCCCCCTAAAACCATAAATACAGGTGAAAGCCAGCATTGCTGCAAGCCGCAAGAAACCTGGGAGATCCTGGGGATTTAAAATATATTTCTAAAACATAAATACCGTAAAACACCACGAGAGCCAACAGTGCACAGCAAGACCCGCGTCTCGATGAAAAGTGTGTTCGGTGAGCTTTGCTCAGATTGCCTTTTCCAGCTCAGGCGAGGAACATAGGTGTGTCACTTCCTTAAATGGGAGGGGGGGGGGGGGTTCATTTGTATAGATTTTAGACAAATGAAAGGCATGGTTTGAGGGGTCTTATCATGCCCACGTTTTTTATGTGCTGTGATTTGGCACCTTGAGTTGGAATTTGAACACTTTCGTTATCATTTAATTATAAACCCGTCTGTTTATAGTGAAAGAAGAAGAAAAAATAAGGAAACAGTCATGAAGCAGAGGCTGAGGTAACTGCCTTGGGAACAAAGTCTCAGGTATTTACTCTAAAATTACCTCTTGCTCCCTAAAATGTGGCTAAATCTCTTACTGACATTAATTCTATAATTTGCTAGACTAAAGCTGTTCTCCATCAGGTTCGTCCACAGTCCTGCTTTCAGGCTACCCGTGGCCCAAAAGCATAAAACGGAAAATAACCTCCTTACGGTGCACAAATCCAAGACACTGAATTCAGTGTGTGTGTGTGTGTGTTTTATTTCAGCTCATTATAGACACACACACGCACCTGTATTTTTTTGCCAAACAAACCGGCGTATTGAGTTGTACCCCCATGACGACGACGGCTAATTAAGCAAACAGACGCTTTTTTTTGGGGGGGGCATTCATGACAGAACGGCCCGAGCGGGCTATGAGACCATTGCTTGGTTCCTCCAGCAGCGCTTCCTTTATTTCTTCCTTTCCCTCATTCTCGCCATCCAGCCTCTCACTCCTGCCATTAGGTTCCACCTGCACCGGTCTGACGTTGGGGCGTCTCCCATTCCTAACCGCTAACCTGTCCCCACCGGTGGCCTGTCTAGCCGCGGTCCCACGACCCCCCCCCCCCCTCAAAAAGCGAGGGCAGACGCAGCCCGGAATCCTCCTACACAGGGGTCAGCAGCCTTTGAGTTGGGAGCCGTCGCCGTGGTGACCAGCTGCGGTCCAGTCCACCCGAGCTCGTTAAGCATCTGAGTCTGCCGTTAAGCCGGCTTCCGGACGCTAACGAAGGCTGCCTGGCACCCCCACTTCACACACCCAGAAGCAAGGGCTAAAAGCAAAAGCTACACACGCTACTTTATCTATGAGCTGGGGGGGGGGCACACAAATCAAATGATAGCACCCGCAGTTACCGCGTGTCGCCCGCTGCCTGGTCGGACATAAACTAGCGTGGCCTGTCGAGTTTCCACCTGCCGCGTCTCCTCCAGCGTGTCCCGGTGCTATGACCACACCCCTTTCCTGGCTTTGGTCCACTAATGGCCAATAAAAGAGCAGCTTGCCAGATCATGTCATGTAAATGTAAACCAGGGCATTGCGGGAAAAACTCATTAAAATGATCCTGGTGTTAGTCAGTAACCAGCCCTAGCTCACTGTCCTAGAAAAACACACACTTCTGCCACAGCACTCGCTCACACAAGAATGCCAGCTGAACTGAATTTTGTTTGAACCATATTACAGTACTAAAAATCCTCAGCATCTACCAGGACAGGAATGAGCAATACTCACACCTAAAGACATGATTAGTTACATAAGGCTTAACTTCCATGGCTGCCTCTCCAGTAAGCTGCACAATGAGCCTGAAGCCTATCCTAGGAGCCACATGGGGACCCTGGCTGGGACTCGGGTCCATCTCAGGGCAGGGACGCACGCACGCATGGATACACACACACACACACACACACACACACGGTAATAAACCACAGGCAAATATGCGGAAGACACCTGTGGGATGCAAACCTCAAACCCTGGATGCAAGAGACCACAGTGTGACCCAGTGCACCTCCAATATAAGGTCTTATGATGTAAACACAGGGGAAGACCACTAGGAGTACTTTAGCACTCTGGTGTTTGTGGGGTGGTGTACCGTGATTCGGCAAACGTGCACAGATGACTGGCATCACCGAAAGCCACATGCCACCATCTCTCTGCCCCTTGTCTTGAGCCTCCCTCCTCTTGGGCCATGGACACAGCCAGGAAGTCCCAGGACAGCTTTCCAGGCTGGGGGGGGGGGATTCTATCTGTCTGTTTGTGCTTCACCAAGTCTCAGCAGAACCAGAAAAATCACATGGTGTGATTCTGCAACTGTGTCCATGTTTATGGTTTTTTTCAGGTCCCCATTTGGACAAACTCAATTTTATAAAACTTTGTGAATACAATCAGAAAAGTAAAAATGCCAAAAGTCTTGTATTATGTTTGATTACTTATGGGTAAGGTTATGGCTGGGTAGGGGTTAGGGTTGTCATTGCTGGGATTAGGGTTATGCCCATACAAATGAATGGATGGCCCCCACAAAGATATGAATACAAACGTGTGTATGTGTGTGTATGTCTGTGTGTCCCACCTCTCAGAAGTACCGTTACGAAGCCGCCATTTGCCTGACTGAACCATGGTGTTCCTGTAGGAGCTGGACAGACAAGAAACCCACAGAAGGCGGGTTGGTGTGATCCCACAGCGCAGAAGCGTGCCTGAAGGCCGGATCAGCACCATGCTGCGAGGATCCACCCTCAGCTGAGTGTCACAAGTGGGAAAAAAATCTCTCAGAAACCGAGAAACCGGTGTGTTTCGTACGGCTGCTTGGTACGATCACAGACACCGGGGCAACATTTTTGAGGGGAGGAGAGTTTTGTTTGTTGCCATGTACGTCTCGGATATGTCTGAAAAGCAGTATGGATCTTCCTTTCGTAGGTTGGCTTTCCAGAAAGTGTGATGGCTTGATGGCAGCATGAACAAGCCCCCCCCCCCACCCCCACCAAACAGCTCTCACATGCAGTGACAGTAGTCCGGAACCCCACCCGGCCCCCACCCCCCACTCTCATAGTGCCACTCCCTAACTGCACTGCGATAGCTCATCTCCGTAACAAGACCGTTTTCGGGACCAGCTGAGTGTCCCAGCACATCGGGGGCTGTGCCCCCGTCCCCCACACTGTGCCGGGAAGGAACGGGAGAGGACAGGACAGCAGCAGGCTGCTGCTGACTGAACCCTGCTGAGGGATTGTGCTCTGACGCCTTCTGGAAACATGGGGTGGGGGAAAGGGGGGTATTCGGAGTGGACAACATAGCAAGGAAGAAGAGTGTGGCACTGGGAGGAAGATGACGGCCGGTGGAACACAGTCACATGTCTTCAGCTGTGATTAACAGCCTCAGTGTGACAGGGGNAAGAGGGACGCGGAGGGACTGGGTGGGACGCGGGGGGACTGGGTGGGACGCAGGGGGACTGGGTGGGACGCAGGGGGACTGGGTGGGACGCAGGGGGTACTGGGTGGGACGCAGGGGCAGTGGTGATTTACAAGGCCCTTCATATAGCCTGCTAAACTCACGCCACATATGCCAAGGAGTCAGACACTTGCTCCAGCCTGTCACATCTCCTTACAAAAACGCCCTTTTGCTCAAAATCATAAGCGGAAATCCGGGCACTGCACCCAGGGCCGTAGTCCAACTCCATTCTCCTCCTCTTTATCCTCCTTAATTTCTTTCACAGATCTGGGCATTATAATTTCAGTTCACACACAAGAAAGGAAGGAAGACTCAGTGGAATGACACAGCCAGTATCTGACATCTTGAAGAAATACGAGAGACCGATCATTGAAATGTCCATGCTCGGCTCTGTCGAGGCCACAGAGTCATGTGACGACGTGACTAAGATTTTCTGGGAGTTCTCTGTTGCTATGGAAATAACGCAGTGGAGTTATTTTGTGGGCGGGGCTTGGGGAGGCTGCCGGGTTTCACTTACCTCATAGAGCAGACAACCCAGGGACCAGATGTCAGATTTGAAGTTGTATCCATTCTCGTGGATCCTTTCGGGAGACATGTAGTAGGGCGTCCCCACTGCGGGAAGCAGAGAGACAGCCGTCGGTCCAGCAGCAGGGGTTGGGGTGGGTAGTGGACACTCACGCGTAAATGCAGGTGCACACCAAGAGGCAGGAGAGTAAATTCAATTCAATTCATTTTTTATATAGCGCCTTTCACAACAGAGCTGTCCCAGGGTGCTTTACATGCGTTCGTTGTGGTACATTGCAACGTCAGAGTAGTCACTGGCAGTAATCAGTAATCAAATGATTAATGTATCCAGTAGGAGCCACTTTAGCGATATGAGATACAGAGCTGTTAACGACGCACGTCTTCACCGAGAATGAAAACTACAGAATGTGATCACAAATGGCCAAACATCCATCCATAGATCCATCCATCCATCTATCCATATGATATATGTGTTTTATAAGGCATCATTTTGTTTTTTTAAGGTGTGTGTAAAAGCAGTCCTGTGCCATGTCAAAATTCAGGGGGGGGGGGCCAGGTAGAGAGACTCCCTCCCCGGTCGCAGGATTCTGGATGAGGACCCCACCCCCCCGGTCTGTGCGGTGGCCAAATAGCACACGCATAAACCCATATGCCCCCCAAAAGCCAGCCATTGAAGCAGGCGTATGGCGGGGGTGTTTAGGGGCGGGTACAGCGGGCGACGGTGCAGCTTCCGGGCTGCGGGCGTGGTCCTCCGTGGCAGCCCATCCGGCACCGCGCAGGGGTGCGCTGCCTAATGAGCGCCCCCCGCCAAACTTGACCCCCCCCACCTTCCAGTCTAATCAGCGCCAGTCTGCCAATGTAGCACATTACTCAATATGACAAGAGCAGGATAATCAGGGGCTATTCATCACCCGCCCCCCAGACCTCCCCCCGCCCACTCGACAGCACCGGGGTCCACGCGGCCAGCTGAGGTACCCTGACGGAGCGGCGGCGATGTCGCCGGACACAAAATGGATGGAGGGAACTCTGTGGCCTTGATTAACGGCCCCATCGGAACGCGCTGGCCCTGCGGACCCCTTCAGCGGCACTGCAACTGGCGCCATAAATTCCTCCTAATTCATGGCCGTAAAAAATGAAGAAAAAAAAAAAGAAAAATCAGGGGCTAGCTTTAAACTGCGAAGTACAGGACCGGAAAGGGAGCCAGCCGCGGAGAACCCACCCCCCCCTCCGGGCTGGGGGTAACTCACAGAACGCAAAAAAAAAAAAGAAAAGCAAAAGCCAAACTTCTCAAGATAGTCCGGGAGGGAGAGCAGTTCTGACCCACTGAAAGTAACGAGGGCGGTAACTGAAGCTGCAGATGGAGTCTTTACGAGTATAGTGCACAGCAATACACATGCAGAACCGTGCTTCAAAGCCGCTGCACTCACAAATCAAAACGAAACTGCTTTGAGACCGGCCACAGAACATGCGCACAGAGACGATTAATTTTTCCTCTTGGAATGTCATTTAACATTTTTAGTTTTATGACAACCCAGTTTATCATTTCCGATCCTGCCCACAGTAATGGGATGCCAGATTAGGGTAGTCATTTAAGCGAAATCTTCATCTACTCACCAGTAAAGGAATATTTTACATCCAAATGACAGTTACGATATAATATTAGCATATCTGTCCCCCGAAATTTAAATAAAGCCGCTAATTAAACCAGTAGGACAATGACAACATCAGACAACCAGACAACATCAAATGAATGACCCCCCTCCCCGCCCTCAGACACAGTCCCTGCCTTTTATATACTGTAGGGGGGGGGGGAGAAATGTCATTATTCACAGCCTTGTTTCTGCTTACAACCTTCCTTTATGCAAAATTACCTCCATTTTCAGCTTCCCACTGTGCTCATGAGAATTTTTAATAAAATTCGGTCATAAGAATTTCCCCCCCTAAAACCATAAATACAGGTGAAAGCCAGCATTGCTGCAAGCCGCAAGAAACCTGGGAGATCCTGGGGATTTAAAATATATTTCTAAAACATAAATACCGTAAAACACCACGAGAGCCAACAGTGCACAGCAAGACCCGCGTCTCGATGAAAAGTGTGTTCGGTGAGCTTTGCTCAGATTGCCTTTTCCAGCTCAGGCGAGGAACATAGGTGTGTCACTTCCTTAAATGGGAGGGGGGGGGGGGGTTCATTTGTATAGATTTTAGACAAATGAAAGGCATGGTTTGAGGGGTCTTATCATGCCCACGTTTTTTATGTGCTGTGATTTGGCACCTTGAGTTGGAATTTGAACACTTTCGTTATCATTTAATTATAAACCCGTCTGTTTATAGTGAAAGAAGAAGAAAAAATAAGGAAACAGTCATGAAGCAGAGGCTGAGGTAACTGCCTTGGGAACAAAGTCTCAGGTATTTACTCTAAAATTACCTCTTGCTCCCTAAAATGTGGCTAAATCTCTTACTGACATTAATTCTATAATTTGCTAGACTAAAGCTGTTCTCCATCAGGTTCGTCCACAGTCCTGCTTTCAGGCTACCCGTGGCCCAAAAGCATAAAACGGAAAATAACCTCCTTACGGTGCACAAATCCAAGACACTGAATTCAGTGTGTGTGTGTGTGTGTTTTATTTCAGCTCATTATAGACACACACACGCACCTGTATTTTTTTGCCAAACAAACCGGCGTATTGAGTTGTACCCCCATGACGACGACGGCTAATTAAGCAAACAGACGCTTTTTTTTGGGGGGGGCATTCATGACAGAACGGCCCGAGCGGGCTATGAGACCATTGCTTGGTTCCTCCAGCAGCGCTTCCTTTATTTCTTCCTTTCCCTCATTCTCGCCATCCAGCCTCTCACTCCTGCCATTAGGTTCCACCTGCACCGGTCTGACGTTGGGGCGTCTCCCATTCCTAACCGCTAACCTGTCCCCACCGGTGGCCTGTCTAGCCGCGGTCCCACGACCCCCCCCCCCCCTCAAAAAGCGAGGGCAGACGCAGCCCGGAATCCTCCTACACAGGGGTCAGCAGCCTTTGAGTTGGGAGCCGTCGCCGTGGTGACCAGCTGCGGTCCAGTCCACCCGAGCTCGTTAAGCATCTGAGTCTGCCGTTAAGCCGGCTTCCGGACGCTAACGAAGGCTGCCTGGCACCCCCACTTCACACACCCAGAAGCAAGGGCTAAAAGCAAAAGCTACACACGCTACTTTATCTATGAGCTGGGGGGGGGGCACACAAATCAAATGATAGCACCCGCAGTTACCGCGTGTCGCCCGCTGCCTGGTCGGACATAAACTAGCGTGGCCTGTCGAGTTTCCACCTGCCGCGTCTCCTCCAGCGTGTCCCGGTGCTATGACCACACCCCTTTCCTGGCTTTGGTCCACTAATGGCCAATAAAAGAGCAGCTTGCCAGATCATGTCATGTAAATGTAAACCAGGGCATTGCGGGAAAAACTCATTAAAATGATCCTGGTGTTAGTCAGTAACCAGCCCTAGCTCACTGTCCTAGAAAAACACACACTTCTGCCACAGCACTCGCTCACACAAGAATGCCAGCTGAACTGAATTTTGTTTGAACCATATTACAGTACTAAAAATCCTCAGCATCTACCAGGACAGGAATGAGCAATACTCACACCTAAAGACATGATTAGTTACATAAGGCTTAACTTCCATGGCTGCCTCTCCAGTAAGCTGCACAATGAGCCTGAAGCCTATCCTAGGAGCCACATGGGGACCCTGGCTGGGACTCGGGTCCATCTCAGGGCAGGGACGCACGCACGCATGGATACACACACACACACACACACACACACACGGTAATAAACCACAGGCAAATATGCGGAAGACACCTGTGGGATGCAAACCTCAAACCCTGGATGCAAGAGACCACAGTGTGACCCAGTGCACCTCCAATATAAGGTCTTATGATGTAAACACAGGGGAAGACCACTAGGAGTACTTTAGCACTCTGGTGTTTGTGGGGTGGTGTACCGTGATTCGGCAAACGTGCACAGATGACTGGCATCACCGAAAGCCACATGCCACCATCTCTCTGCCCCTTGTCTTGAGCCTCCCTCCTCTTGGGCCATGGACACAGCCAGGAAGTCCCAGGACAGCTTTCCAGGCTGGGGGGGGGGGATTCTATCTGTCTGTTTGTGCTTCACCAAGTCTCAGCAGAACCAGAAAAATCACATGGTGTGATTCTGCAACTGTGTCCATGTTTATGGTTTTTTTCAGGTCCCCATTTGGACAAACTCAATTTTATAAAACTTTGTGAATACAATCAGAAAAGTAAAAATGCCAAAAGTCTTGTATTATGTTTGATTACTTATGGGTAAGGTTATGGCTGGGTAGGGGTTAGGGTTGTCATTGCTGGGATTAGGGTTATGCCCATACAAATGAATGGATGGCCCCCACAAAGATATGAATACAAACGTGTGTATGTGTGTGTATGTCTGTGTGTCCCACCTCTCAGAAGTACCGTTACGAAGCCGCCATTTGCCTGACTGAACCATGGTGTTCCTGTAGGAGCTGGACAGACAAGAAACCCACAGAAGGCGGGTTGGTGTGATCCCACAGCGCAGAAGCGTGCCTGAAGGCCGGATCAGCACCATGCTGCGAGGATCCACCCTCAGCTGAGTGTCACAAGTGGGAAAAAAATCTCTCAGAAACCGAGAAACCGGTGTGTTTCGTACGGCTGCTTGGTACGATCACAGACACCGGGGCAACATTTTTGAGGGGAGGAGAGTTTTGTTTGTTGCCATGTACGTCTCGGATATGTCTGAAAAGCAGTATGGATCTTCCTTTCGTAGGCAGGCTTTCCAGAAAGTGTGATGGCTTGATGGCAGCATGAACAAGCCCCCCCCCCCACCCCCACCAAACAGCTCTCACATGCAGTGACAGTAGTCCGGAACCCCACCCGGCCCCCACCCCCCACTCTCATAGTGCCACTCCCTAACTGCACTGCGATAGCTCATCTCCGTAACAAGACCGTTTTCGGGACCAGCTGAGTGTCCCAGCACATCGGGGGCTGTGCCCCCGTCCCCCACACTGTGCCGGGAAGGAACGGGAGAGGACAGGACAGCAGCAGGCTGCTGCCGACTGAACCCTGCTGAGGGATTGTGCTCTGACGCCTTCTGGAAACATGGGGTGGGGGAAAGGGGGGTATTCGGAGTGGACAACATAGCAAGGAAGAAGAGTGTGGCACTGGGAGGAAGATGACGGCCGGTGGAACACAGTCACATGTCTTCAGCTGTGATTAACAGCCTCAGTGTGACAGGGGTGGTGTGACTCGGCGAGCTGGGACACGGTGCCTGTGGTCGCAAGGTCGCTGCTTCAAATTTCAGGGTCTGAAGAATGATTCGAGCAAGACTCTTAATGCCTAATCGCTCCAGGGACTGGCTGACTCTGCTTTCTCAAGATAATGTCCCTCACTTTGGGTAAATGTCTGCTATATGAAAAAAAACATTCAGAGGGCTCTGTTATATAACAGCAGCCACATTATGTCAGCATGAACCAGCGACATGGTTGGGCGGGTGCATTATTATTATTATTGTTATTATTATTGTAGTTGTTGTTGTTATTATTTTTATTTATGATTGATTGATTATTTGTTTGTTTGTTTTGCCAAGAACCTCAAGAATTTTTTTCTTCTAAGTGAACTGAACGCAACTCCCTGACATTTGGAATCCAATGTTAATTACGAAGCAACAGGAGACACATAATCGACAGACATATCGAAGGAATTAAGGTTATGAAGGAGCAGGTGACATGAACTGACATAGTAAGAACACAAAAGGCTGCTTTAGCCTTTTTAACCATCGATCACAGACCCTGGGTCACTAACAGTTAGGCAGTTGGATTTGTCCATCAGCTAAACCTGCAAACACGAATGTACACTCAGGCCTGGCATGTCAAACGGACACATACACACAACCGTAAAGCCTTAATCCTTAAGCCTTAAGTTCACAGACCCACACTCACTGTAACACACACGCACAGACCCACACTCACAGTGAACTCACAATGACACACACAAGACACACACACACACACACACACGCACAGACCCACACTCACTGTAACACACACACACACAGACCCACACTCACAATGACACACACAAGACACACACACAAGGCACACACACACACACACACACACACAGCAGGCCCAACACGCGCTCTCTCTCAGTGGGACTCAGCCCGGCTTGCAGACGTATAATTTTCGGTGTGTTTTCTGTGTCTTGGTGGGAGATCATTAGTCAGTCTCGTCTCCCCTTGCCTGAATCGGCTCTCGCTGCCAGCGCTGCTGATGAGGGAGGGGCCATTTCAGGCTTCTATTTCTGTGTGCGGCGTCCCCCGCCACTGAAGCCCCGCGAGTGCGTCTTTGAAGGACGTGGAGGGCGACTTACCTAAGGAATGTGCCGCCGTGGTCTTGGAGCTGAAGAAGCGGCCCAGGCCCAGGTCTCCCAGCTTCACCTCCCCCGTGGCCGTGATGAACACGTTGGCTGGCTTGATGTCTGGGGCACAGAGGTGGGGGGTCAGGGCGCAGGCCTTGAGGCTGTCCACACCCCGAGCCACCACCCAATCCAAGCACCATCTGTCCTTTGCTGTCTGTCCCTACTTTCCTGTATCTCTCTGTGCTGATCTGTTTCTTTCCTGCCTGCATTTCACCATTCTACCTGCTTGTCTCACTTTATTTTATTTCCTTGTATCTCACTATCCTACCCTGTCTATCTTTATATTCCAATATTTTACTACCCTGCACTGGCTGTCTGTCTTTACTTCCCTGCATCGCTATCCTACCCTGTCTATCTCTAAATGACTCTATCATGCTGCCAATCTGATTTATATGATCTTACTGGTCCATCCTTTGTGCATCTCTTTCACCCTGTTCTGTTCTCCCCCTCCACCTACATTCCTTTACCGCTCTGCTTTATCTTCTTTCTAATCTCCATGACATCATACTCCACGTCTGAGTTTACATCCTCCCTCTCCGTCTTCGACCATCCACAGTGAATCTGACCAAACCTCCTAGACGCCGTGCCTCATCACCCTCCCTTACTCAACGCGGCGTTAATCCATCTCTGCTGTTAATTACGGTATGTCCTTGTCTCAATTTATCTACGCTGTGTTTAACTGGACTGGCCCTCGTTTCCTCCTCCCCGTGTTGTGCCCTGGGGGGTGGGGGAGGGGGGCTCCTACAATCCAGAGCTGTGCGGCGCATCTCGTAGCGTGCCAGGTGGGCACACCAGTGAGCCGAGGAAGTGGAGACGGAGTCGATTTGGATGCAGCAGGACCCACTGTGCTGGGATCTCCAAGAAAGGAGGCTCTAAATCTCACCTATAGTTTACAGTCACCTTGTGAGGGGGTTTCCATAGCAACAGGCACCACCCCTCCAAGAAGAAGATGGCGTAAACAAGGCCCCCCTCAGACACACAGGTGGGACCAGCAGATTTGCATGCAAGCATGGCAGTCGGGGGCAGAATCACATGGAAAGAAGGCAGGTGGGGTGGGTATTTACCTCTGTGTATGACCCTCCGGGAATGCATGTGCTCCACGGCGCTGCACAGCTGTACAAAACACTTCCATATTGCCCTTTCCGGGATGAGGCGTTGCCTCTTCTTAAAGTGCTGGGGGGGGGGGGGGGGGGCGCATATGAGAAACAAGCACAACTGGGCACAACTCCCCCCCAGCACCGCGCTCTCTCAGGGCCATTGCCGAGGCTCCCGCTCGACATCAAAGGAATTCCTGATCCGGCATTAACATTTTTAACCCTTGCTGTTCCGCCATGTGAGCTGGCAATTAGGGCCCATTAGAAAATACTGCCTAATGAGCTCCGATGCTCCCAATACAATGCTGCACCTAATTAACACTAATCCCATTAATTAAGCACTGAGATATGTTTAACGTCGCAAAACAACAAATGCTATATATATATATATATTTTTTTTTTAATTATTATTATTATTCTTTTTTTTTTCTCCCCATTTTGCCTTCAGCTTCTTGACTGAATCTGCATATCAGGGGATATAATCACATGCATCAATACGACACGGCCGCATTTAAATGATGTAAATATTTTGGTTTGACTGGATAGTCAAGACAATTATTTAAAATAAGTGCATTTTTATGAATAAAAATTGAAAATTATGCAAACTCTCTTCCAAAGAGGAGAAAGAATGGAGAGGAATGAACTGGTTTTAAATGGAAGGAAAAAAATAAAGGTATTATATTATATTTTATTTCTACTCATGAATAAATTAAGTATTCACCTTAAACTACATCTAATGAAATATCAAACAGTAACATTCACTTAAATTTGTAATTTCAGTTCAAATCACCCATCCATTCATTTTCTGAGACCGCTTATTTTGGTCAGGGTCGTGGGGGGGTCCGGAGCCAGTCCCAGAGGCTACGGGCGCAAGGCAGGGAACAACCCAGGATGGGGCGCCTAACCATCGCAAGGTGCACGCAAGCAGGCACATCGAGGGCCAATTCAGTAACTCAGCCTCAGCATGTTTTGGGGGTGTGTGGGGAAAGCGGAGCACCCAGAGGAAACCCCACGACAACAAAGGGAGAACATGCAAACTCCACACACATAGAACCCGGGCGCAGACTTACACTCAGGTCCCAGAGGTGTAAGGCGACAGTGCTAACCACTGCACCACCATGCCGCCCCCCAGTTCAAATTATTTGGACTTATCGCTATTGTATAATTGCCTTCAAATATCTGGAATTTAAATTGAAAGCTAATGTGCAGCTTAGTTCAGGATCAGAAGTGTGCCTGTAATCAGAAGGTTGCAGGTTCAAATCACAAGACCCTTAACCTCCAGTTAATCTAGGGACTGGATGACCCTGCTTTCTCAAAAAGAAAAGAAAGTGTGTCGCTTTGGATTCAAGTGTCCACTAAATATATATACTTTTTAGGAATAACTTGTTTTTGTCTCTTTCCCTTCTTCAGCTGGCAGGTGACGCCACACGCGTTGGACGGCTGGCGGGGACGTTAATGGAGCGTGACAGTGTCCGTCCCCAGGGGGTGCCCTGATTGAGGCGATACGGGCCTCACGCAATGACCCCAAACGACGAGCTGTTCTCTTACATGTCTCCCGACTGACCCCCTCCGCCAAACACACAGCAAGCAGTAGTACTGGAGTCTCCGGTGACGCACCTTGATCATCTGTGAGAGGTTACCGTCATCAGCCAGCTCCAGTACGATGTTCAGCTCATTGTCCTCGATGAAGGAGTCCAGGTACTTGATCACATTGGGATGGTTCAGCTGCTGCAAGGTGACCAAACACACCAAACCCTCTCAGGTCGGTCATGGGAAATTCTGCCTAATGCCGACACCCAGCATATATATATAAAGTAAAACCATAAATAAATGATAAACTATTTTAGGAGACAGAAGGTCAGTTGATTTCTGCTGCTTGTTAGCAACCCTAACGAAGCTCAGACCCTAACAAGGTCTTTCTCAAGTATTTCTGCTTTGAGACAGGTGGTGTGTCATTGACTTGACCACATATTTGGGCTGAAATGTACCACAATGTTTTGAAGAGCAGGAGGCCGCAGACAGGCCCCCCCAACCCGGACACTCGGGGGTTAACTGCTAAGGCACACGGGCCCGAAATGCCCCCAGGTATAAGATTACAGGGGCATGTCGTACATTGGGCAGGGAGCAATCCCTTTAAATTTAAAGGCATCTCAGCTATTCATAACAATAGCCAGCCGGCGACATCTGCGCAGACAGGCCATCCAGAGGCGAGCACGGAATGCACAGACCCTGCGCAGACCCCGTACAACATCGAAAGCCACAAATAGCATCAAGGTCAGCCGTCTGCAGACTTTCCCAGGACCGGGGAGCAAAGGCAAGTTTGGGATAGTTTAGAAATCAGGAGGATGGGTCACATTTCGAACTGAGTCTGTAACCCGAACCCATTTTCTAACACAACGCTGTGCGCTGCTAAATGGAACAACTGCCGCCAGCGAAACGCCAAACATTCTCCCATTGTTCCCCTTAAAAAGACAGCCACACAGCAATGTCTAACATCTGCTTAGAAACGTACAATGTAATAAAAGCTGACGTTAACTTCAGCATGAAATCCATACCTTAGAACTAAGAACATTTCATTTTCTCCATTAAAATTCAAATATCATGATGATAAGAAGTGTATTGAGTCACAAGCCATTATTCACGACGCATGACAACTTTACTGCTGTTCTCTTTCTACGCGGACGTCAGAAGTCAAAGAAGCATCAGTGTTTTGACAGTATCACCGCCTTTACACGATGCTGAGGTTCCCTGACACAAGAGAGATAAGGATTAAACCACTGCTGTCTGCACTCACTTCGTTGATTCATTGATTGCTGCACCTATTTTACAGGGTATTAGTCAGGGCCTAAGAATGTTAGAGCACCGGCAGACTGTTAATTACGCAGCGTCACGCCATGCCCGCGTGGGGACTGTCTACCTTGCGGCTGTCTGAACGGCAGACGTCTCGCTCCAGGGGAGTTATTCTGAGACGAGATCCTTTGAAGGAACGACACCTGACACGAAAATTTCGGGGCAGTAACTTTAGACACATTCGTGCCTCATACAGGGGATGAGAGATGTGTGAAATATGCAGCAATATGTGCAGAGTGTGCGAGCAAAGTATATACAGAGCATAACTAGATGCAGTTGGAACGACAACAATGCATTCCCTGGACAGCCTCATCACCCCCTCCATCTAATCCTTACCCCTCCCACACACCCCCAAAACTCTACACTCTCCCCACCTCTCCATGAAATCTTTATTAAAAGCCAAACTTTGTGTGACTTGTCTCAATGTAATCAGGTTCACCGGATCTGTGTCTCTGGTTGTCCATTCGAATGCCACCACTGCTTGAGTTTAGGTGCCATTTATCTCAAAATGAAATCGGTTCTAGAACATTACTTATACTGTGCTCCGGTATGAAAATGTCCATTAAATACTTATATAGTTAATAAACAGTTAAAGTGCTCAAGAGATCAAGTGTCTTCTGCAGCTGCCCTTTCCTTCCTTTGCTACGAACTAGCGCTGGTGCTTCATTTTTGGTGCAATTTGTCTCAAACATTGATCCAGTTCCAGTTGTTCACCCATACAATACGCTTGCAAGGTTTGAAAAGTATATGCTCAATACATTTTAAGTTATAGGGCTATCAGGATCAGTCCTTCTCTTTGCTGTCACTGTATGGCACTACTTCAATTTTGCTGAAATCTACCTCTAAATTTGGTCAATTCCAACTACAGTGTCAAAATTCCACTTCTGAGTTTGGTTATAATCAAGCCACTTCTTTCAAATGGCGCAGCGAAAGGGCCAATTTTAAAGGGTATCTGGATCCAATGTTAATTTTATCGCCCACCTCAGTTAAAATACAAGCGACTCATGAGATCAGATCCTGATGAATGCCGATATCGTTTATTCTCTCTGATATCATTAAGTAAACAGAACCAGATGATAAGGTCATGAAAGACAGTCAAAAGGCTGTTAATTTCAAAATACACACGTGTGTAAAACTTCTAAACCAGTCACATTGTCAGTTCTCTTACTTCTAATACGTACCTGCCATAAAGAACTTACAATAAACCAATATAAAATCAGGATATCAATTTAACATTTATTCTGTGATTATCCTTAGGAAGCATCTGAAATCTAATGCAATGTGCAACGTTCAAAAACAGTTTTACAGAAGTTGGCTCTTACAACAGCCATGTAATACGGCAGCAAATACTTTTTGAGTTATCATCTCAATGAGAAATTGTTAACGGCAGCGGCGGCCTGGTACAACACCATAGGTATTCTCTGTCTGGGGGAATACAATAAGAATTATTGCAGAGTATAAGTAAGCCATACAGAGTATGTTCAGAGTATGAGTAAATAATGCAGAAAAATATTTACAGGGTCTGTACTGGGCAAGTCCAGTATGTGAGTAAGGACACCTCTGAACATGCAGTTTCAGCAAAAAGTGTGCAGTCTGCCAGTGTTGGGCTCGATCATGTGACCAACGGCAGCTAGTTGCTTAACAGGCTGCACTCCAGCTCCCGGATAACTGGTCTGTGTGTGTATGTTTGTGTGAGTGTGTGTGCGCGCTCGTATCCCAAAATGTGATAAAAACCTGTTATTTTGACATTGTGGGGACCATTTTCAGGTCCCCACAAAGATCTGTGAATGAAATCAAAAATGCCAAAAGTCTTGTATTTTGTTTGGTTAAGGATAGGGCTGGGTAGGGGTTAAGGGTGTTATGTTGGGATTAGCGTTTTCCCCATAGAAATGGAGAGTCCTCACAAAGATATAATTACAAACCTATGTATGTGTGTGTCTGTGTGCGCGTGTGTGTGTGTGTGTGTGTGTGTTACCACCCTGTATGGTGGGATTGAGCCCTGATCTACCCATGGTGAACAGGGAATAGCGAGTGAAATAGCGTAAAAGCAGACGACATGCTAATCCATGTCTGCCTTTCTTAGATCTTCAGGCCTTTGCGAAGATCCTCGCTTGATGCCTCACCGCTGCCATTTTCCCATCGTCATGGGGGCATTTCATGACACAAATACAATAATGTTGATCCTTGGGGGGGGTGGAGGGGGAGATTTTCGATGTGGTGGCCACACCCTGCTCGCTCTGGACAGACACGAGGCCAACACTGGACCTCCACTGTGGGGGTGACAGGGATCTGCTCCCAAATGAGAATCTCATCCCGAATCACTCCCTAACTGTCACCATGTTACATACTTCCTGTGCAAAACCCAGCGTGTTTCACAAAAGTCACGCAGAGACTTTTCCATGTGACACAGTCAGGTCTGAGAAAGTTCTGGAATATGGAAGCGGAAAGAACAAAGGTGTAAAGAGGGCGGCCTGGTCTCCATGTCAGACCGGCCTGTAGTTTCGATCCAGATTGGTCACCACCCTCCTCAAACAGCACTGCAGTTCCAACATTGATCTCTGCAGCCTCCACCAGTTAGCCAAATGCTACGTCCCTCTGCGACTCCCGGATGGGACTGAGTTATAGTTAATCAATGAGCATGCCCCCCCCCCCCCGGGCACTGTCAGAACTCGGGCTATGGAGGGATATCAGCCGCTGAGGTGGGGGTGGGGTTCGGGTAGGCATCAGGATCGAAGGGTGAACAGCACGTACAGTATGTAGGAGCGCAAGCTTGTTACCATGGCGGTAAATGTCTCTTTAACTCTGCCTTATTCAGGAAATGGAGGGACAGGATGGGAAAGAGAGAGAGAGAGAGAGAATGAGGGAGAGAGAGAGAGAGAATGAGAGAGAGAGAATGGGGGAGAGAGAGAAAAGGAAAAATAGAGAGTGAGGGTGAGGGGAATAGAGAGAGAGTGACAGGTAGGAGGGATGGAGTGTGGAGGAGGGATAAAGGGAGAGAGAGAGAGTGAGAGAGAGGGAGAGAGAGCCCTTTACTGTCTAGGGACACCTCTACACACCATGTCAACAGGATGGGAGCATTAGTACAGCACGGAGCTGACATGTGCTGACTGGAGTGTGTGTGTGTGTGTCTGTGTTTAGAATAGGTTTATATTACATTGTGGGGACCAAATATCCCCCACAATGCAATAAAAACCTGTTTTTTGACGCTATGGGGAACATTTTCTAGGTTCCCACAAAGATCTGTGAATGCAATAAAAGAGTAAAAATGCCAAAGTCTCATATTTTGTTTATTTAAGGTTAGGTGTGTCTGTGGCTGTGTGTGTGTGTGTGTGTGTATGTGTCTGTAGCTGTGTGTGTGTGTGTCTGTGGCTGTGTGTGTGTCTGTGTGTGTGAGTGTGTATGTGTCTGTGGCTCTGTGTGTGTGTGTGTTTGTGTCTGTGTGTGTATGTGTCTGTG